CGGGAGCGGCGGGCCGGGGACGCCGGGGTCCCCCTCTCCCCTGGGGGGCTGCAGTCACCCTCTTGAAGTGGGACCGTATGGGACGGAGCGGGGGCCGCGGCGGGTCAGTGCCACGAGGCCTGGAAGTGAGGACAGATGGAGCCAGGAGCCGGTCGGGTGGCGTTGAGAGATCCGAGGAGTCAGGGAGGACGAATGCTCGGGTTTCCCTTCACTTTCGGCCGAGGCCAGACAGCGTCTCTCGCTGCACTTTCTATTATTGAAACTAATTACGTTTTAAGTATCAATGGCACCGAACCGTCCTGAAGGAATCCCAAGATGCATTGCAGTCTTGTGATCGGGCAGGAACTGTTGGCTATCAATACGAAGATCTTTTCACCCTTAGCATATTGTAGGCTTGTAAAGTTCACAAAGTGTCACAAAGTTAGAGTTTCTCACTTAATATTAATGTGTGTAGGAGACTACATTGATTCGTGTGCCCCTTTTCTTAGGTGGGACTTGGTCTTTTCTCCTTAGTGACACGTTTGAAATTTTCATTGTGTTAAAATTGTTAACCTTATTCAGGTTACTTGGTATAACTCACTCTTTTTCTATGTTCATGTGTATTAGTCTATTCAGACACTTGAGCATTTGTTATAACTCAATTAAGTTATAGTTGTCACGTGCCATTCTGACCATAGCTAGTAGACAGACTTTCTGTGGTTTCAAGTTAAGTTCCCTCTTTAAAAATCTTCCTGTATTTAGGGGCTGCTTAAGTGATAGCATGCTTTCAGGTACTGATTTTGTAGGAAGGAATGAACTGAAGTATTCTCCCCATATAAAGGTGCTTATTTTAGGAACTGTCAATATTGGCTTAAAGAGAAAAGGAAAGAAAAAGGCTGAATGTCCTTGTATTGTTCAGCCAGGGTATTGGTGGACTGGATCATAGAGGTTCCCAGCAATTTATAAGTGAGAGCAGATTGTTGATTTCTCTTTAATGCTCTATGTCCTAGTATTGTAGATAAGTTTACATCATGAAAGGGCTCTAGGAGTTTGGTTTCTTCAGAAACTTTTGCTACCGTTTTCTCTCTAGAGGCAAAAAGTTGCAAAGTATGCGTGTGAGCACACAGTTTGGGTTTGGTAGTTTTATTGGTATTTCTTTTACTTGTGTGGGCGGTTGATGTTTTCTCTTTGAACAAGGAAGCTTAGCTTTGATTTCTTTGCTTAGATCAAGCCATTTTGGCTTCCTAAACTAGTTCACTTACCACCTCCCAAAACTGCCTGTTTCCCCTTACCTTATCATGCAGATTCTTTTTATCCAGCCATTTTCTTTTTTGGCCCTCCCTCCTTACTCTGGAGCCACCAGCACCACTCTGGCTAGACCTAGGACTCCATTTCCAGCCTCTCTAGGCATCAGCCAAATAGTCATCAAGGGACAGCCATCCTTAGAGCAGTGGCCTGGAATGGTGGTCACTGCTGGGTGACTAGACATTACCTCTTATGCAGGAGGACTGTCTTTTCTCTTCCTGATATTTGTCAATTTGCAGTTTTACTCTTAATCCTTTTCTCTGACTCTGCTAGAAGTCGAAGATGTAAAAATGTGTAAGGAAGTGGTTGTTGGTAAGAAAAGTCCCTACATTATGGTCAGTTTTTTCTTTTTTATTAGATACCTCTTTAGGGGTTACTGACTTTACCAGCTGCTTCTACAAAATGCCAGTTAATGTTAAAAAAAAAAAATTATCCTCTGTAGGATGTCTTTTTGGAAAAGAATGGATTTTCTAAATTGAGGTCCAGAGTTATGTGAGACTGTTGGATTGTGTGTTCCAGCCCATTCAGGTCCAATAAAATGTCATCATCAGAGCAGAGAACTATGCTTGGAAGAAGCAGGGAAAAATTGGAAATAGCATTTAGATTGAAATTTACAAAGGGGGAACCATATAGGTTTGCAGGTTTTTTATAGTGAGGACACGGACAATAGGGCTAGCACATTTCTTTGTTAAGCCATGGCTGAAATTTGTGGTGCGTGTTTTCAAACTAGATACCAGGAGATCTCTTTTTTTTTTTTTTTAAAGATTTTATTTATTTTATTTTTCCCCCCAAAGCCCCAGTGGATAGTTGTGTGTTGTAGCTGCACATCCTTCTAGTTGCTGTATGTGGGACTCGGCCTCAGGATGAACGGAGAAGTGGTGCCTCGATGCGCACCCGGGATCCGAACCCGGGCCACCAGCATCGCAGCGCGCGCACTTAACCACCAAGCCACAGGGCCGGCCCCACCAGGAGATCTCTTGAAGAAGCCTAGAGATAAAGCACTAGAATGAATGACTTTTGAGACGTGTCTGTCTAGGATGAATATCTGTTATTTCTTCTGAAAACAGGCTAGTTTTTCTTTTTCTTTTCTTTGGGGGGGGAGTGGGAATACTTTCACTGGTGCTTGAGCAGTAGAGGAAGAAGCTTCTGCACAAAGTGTCATTCACCTTCACTGGAAGGCTGCTGATTATGCCTGTTTCCAGCCATCTCAAGTCAGAACTTGGGGTTCAGTGTTGACCTTGGATCTTTTTGAAAATTCAATGTAGGTTTCCAAAGAAATGATTAAGTAGAGCCCATTTAAATGTAATTAAGTATAATTTATTTAAGTGCAATTCTCCACAGATCCAAGTAAGTTGGCCGAGTGATGCTCTTTATAATTTTATTTATTTATTTTTTCCCCCAAAGCCCCAGTAGATAGTTGTATGTCATAGTTGCATATCCTTCTAGTTGCTGTATGTGGGACGCGGCCTCAGCATGGCCGGAGAAGCGGTGCGTCGGTGTGCGTCCGGGATCCAAACCCGGGCCGCCAGCAGCGGAGGACGCACTTAACCACTAAGCCACGGGGCCGGCCCAAGTGATGCTCTTTAAAGTAGAGCTCCTGAAATGAATGAAAATGTAGAAGACAAGGGTTATGTATACTAAAACAAACATTTTCTATGATAGAACGTACTTATTTTAAGTTCCAGTTTGCACCTAGTTCAGTCTTTTTTATTATTATATGAGAAACATGTTTAGTGATGTTAATCAGGGTTACTTGGTGTCTTAGTCCATTTGGGCTCCTATAACAAAATACTGCAGACTGGGTGGCTTATAAACAACAGAAATATATTGCTTACAGTTCTGGAGGCTGCAAGTCTGAGATCAGGGTGCCAGCATGGACGGGTGAGGGCCCTCTTCCCTGTTCAGGATAGCAGACTGCTGACTTCTTGTGTCCTCACATGGCGGAAGGGGCAAGGGGGTCTCTGGGGCCTTTTATCAAGGCACTGATCCCATTGGGGAGGGCGCCTCCCAAAGGCCCCACCTAATACCATCACATTGGGCATTAGGATTTCAACATACGAATTTTAGGGGACACAGACATTCAGACCATAGCACTTGGACTTGTAGAACAGCCAGAGCTTCTAAAGTAATGGTGTAGTGTTCTTTCCACCATCCCACCCCCTCACCTCTCAAAACTCTACCGCTAAAAAATGAGCATAGAATAAAACCAGCAGGCCTCGGTAGATCCTCAGAGGAGGATCTTCAAAAAGTAGCACATTGTATTGTGGAACTTGAATTTTAAAGAGAAAAATTCTGTTTTGTAGTGTTTGGTTTTTGCTGAATGCCTTTTTGTGGGGGAGGGATTTTCTACTTTTTTTTTAATGATTGAGGTACAATTCACACACCATAAAATTCACCTTTTTTAAGTATACAGTTTAATGGTTTTAAGTATATTCACAAAGTTATGCAACGATCACCACTTGATGGATGCTTGTTAATCACTGAGTAGTCTCAAAGGTGACCTCTTCAGGTGGCCCCCTGAGTAGAGAAGTTCCAGAATTAAAGTAATGGTTGTTTTGTCCAGAAGGGCTCACACACTGTAGCACACTTTATTATTACAGTGAATGATATCTGTTGATCAATAGAAAAATTTAGCTAGATGGTAGATGAGGTTCTTGACTTGAGGTTTGTTTTTCTTTTCCTTTAAGACTGAAATGCCTGCAATAACAATTCTAATGTGAAGGATTTTTCAGGCTTCGAGGGGTCAGTAAATGGAAGAGAGTAGGCAGAGGAGATCAGGGAAAAGTATTGTTCCTGGTCTGTTGCTTCTTTTCCTACCTAGTTTCCTATCTGGTTATTTCTTTTCCTACCTTGACTTACCAATTATTAGATTTTGGCTCGTTTCATGATTTCATATGCTTCAGTGGCTCGTGCAGGAGGATTTAGGGAACAAGGGAAGGCATCAACTAGTGCTGGGCCATGTGGAGCAGCTGTTGAAGCTGTTAGAGATTTTGATTGAGAATAAACCCTCTTTGGAGCAGGTTTTATTTAGTGCAGTTAGTACATAGCTTTTTGCGTTCTTTCGACGTTTGTTTATTTTTCACCTTTTCTGGAATTGTACTGCATGAAAAGACAGCAATTAAAATTTATCAGGGCAAGTCAGGGAACTATTGTAGAGGGCAGATTTTAAGCCTTGTTTTGCTTGTTTTTGTTTCCTGGGAGGAAATGTCTTCAAGTGTTAAAATAGTATTATTGTCGTTGTGGTTGAAGAGAAAGGAATGAAAAAGAGGTTTGATAACCTTTTGGGGTGAGTTAGCAGTATTAGAATGGAATTTTTTGAGATGTGAATCTCTGGTTTTGCTCAGGTATATGCATAGCAATTAATGAACAAACATCAGCCTGCCTGCAGAATGCAGGATACTGTGCCAGGCACTTGAAATGACACCA